GCTTTACCCCCACAGTTGGCTGGAGTACATGATGTTTTCCATGTATCTATGCTGGACCAGTTCGTGGTGCTGTTTATCGACGATATTCTAGTCTATTCACCGTCGGAAGAAGAACATGAGCAACACTTGAGAGTAGTTCTCCAGGTTTTAAGAGACAACCAGCTATACGCAAAAGCAGGTAAATGCGAGTTCTAGTTGAAGGAAGTCAAGTTTTTGGGACACGTTGTGTCTAAGCATGGGATTGCAGTAGACCCGGCCAAGGTAGAAACAGTATTAAATTGGAAGCAGCCAACCTCAATATTCAAAGTTCGCAGTTTCTTAGGGTTGGCCGGCTATTACCGACGGTTTATTCAAGACTTTTCCAAACTGGCCAAGCCGATGACTCGTCTAACGCAAAAAGGGGTAAAATACGATTGGAACGGAGCATGTGAACAATCCTTTCAAGAACTCAAGAGGAGATTGACTAGTGCCCCAATACTCATCATTCCAGAGCGAGACATATGATATATGGTATATTGCGACACGTCTAAGGATGGACTAGGCTGTGTGTTAATGTAAAAAGGAAAGGTGGTGGCTTACGGCTCCAGGCAACTAAAACCGCATGAAAAGAATTATCCGACACACGATCTAGAGTTGGCAGCGATGGTTTTTGCGTTAAAGCAATGGCGTCATTATTTGTATGGTGAACAATTTGAGATTTTCACGGACCATAAGAGCTTGAAGTATTTGTTCACGCAGAAGGACTTGAACATGAGACAAAGACAGTGGCTAGAATATCTTGAAGATTACCATTTTACTCTATCGTACCATCCTGGCAAAGCTAACGTGGTGGCAGATGCCCTGAGTCGCAAGAATCGGGGAATTATTGCTAGCTTGGCACTCAAGGAATGGAAAATGGTCGGAACACTTAATGAGTTAGGAGTATAGATGAAAGCTCAGGACGAGAAGGTATACGTTGGCGCTCAAATCGCTGCACCCAAATTACTGAACGAGGTAATAGAGTCACAGAAGTATGATTAGGAGGTGGCGTTCATAAAAGTGCGAATAGCATCCGGTGATCCTATACCTGATTGGACGATTTATTCAGATGGAAGTTTGAGACATCAGGACAGAGTGTTTGTACCACAAGATGAGTCTCTTAGAGAAAAAGTTCTGAAGGAGTTCCATCATTCGGTGTTCGCAGTGCACCCAGGAGGGACGAAAATGTACTAAGACTTAAAACGCCAATATTGATGGAGTGGAATAAAGAAAGATGTGGCTCAATTTGCAGCCAGATGCCTTACGTGTTAGCAAGTAAAGGCAGAACACCAGCGACCTGGAGGGATGCTTCAACCCTTGCCAATCTCAGAATGGAAATGGGAGCATGTAACAATGGACTTCGTCATTGGACTACCCAGGTCACCTAGAGGACATGATGCTAGATGGGTTATAGTTGATCGTTTGATGAAAACTGCGCACTTCTTTCTATATAAAATCTCCAACACTTTGACATCGCTGAGTCATCTCTATATTAAAGAAATTGTTTAACTACACGAAATTCCTGTATCAATTGTGTCAGATTGAGACCCGCGTTTCACCTCCCGATTCTGGGGAAGCCTACAAGAAGCATTGGGGATCGAATTATGCTTTAGTATCGCTTTCTATCCTCAAACTGACAAACAGTCGGAACGCACCATTCAGACTTTGGAGGACATGCAGAGAGCTTGTGTGTTGGATTTTAAAGGGAGTTGGGAGTGACACTTATCGCTAGGGAGTTTACATACAACAACAGTTTCCAGGCTAGCATTGGCATGGCTCCATTCGAAGCACTGTACGGTAGACCTTGCAGATCACCAGTTTGTTGGATTGAAGTTGGAGAAGTGAGTCTATTGGGCCCAGAGATCGTGCAAGAAACTACAAAAAAGGTGAAACTTATTCGACAAAGATTAGTGGCAGCTCAAGATCGTCAGAAGAGTTATGCAGATAAAAAGAGAAGATCGCTAACCTTCGTTGTCAGTGATTATGTTTTCTTGAAAATTTAGCCCCGCCGGGGATCATTCGTTTTGGAAAGAAAGGAAAATTATCACCTCGATATATTGGACCCTTCGAGATACTTCAAAAGATTGGAGAGGTTGCGTACAAATTGGTTCTATCCCCACAATTGGTTGAAGTACATGATGTTTTCCATGTATCTATGCTGCGGAAGTACATAATGCACCATTCTCACATCATCAACTGGGAAGAAATCCAACTCAATGAAGACGCTACCTTTGAGGAGGGACCAGTAGCAATTATGGACAGATAAGAAAAGAACTTGCAAGGGAAGACAATTCACCTTCTTAAGATACTCTGGCGTCACCATGGTATTGAAAAGTTCACCTGGGAACGTGAAGACGCGATGCGGGCAAATTATCCACAACTATTTGAGACGTAAGGTATGATTTAATTTCGAGAATGAAATTTATTTAAAGGGGATAGGTTGTAGAGACTCTAATTTTTTTTGTAATTACACTTGAAACCCTGAGCCTTAGGTTAATAGCATTTTAGCCCTCATTCCGTAAAAGTCTGCATAAGGGCCCAAATAAAGAATAATTTTTCCGTGTATTACCATATTTGGGAATACCCTAAAACTTGGTTTTATTTATTTTATCTCATAATTTCTAAATTAATTCACACATTTTAATTTTATTTCTATTTTTTGTTTTTTGTTGTTCTTTCATTTATTGTTTATTTGAATAGAATATTATTATTTATTTGAATATGTACATAGGTTTTATAAATAATATTTTGGTGGAAAATTTGGTTGGATAACAACAAAAAAAAGAAAGAAATATCTAGATATTTATCTTTCCTTAGTCATTAAGCTAGGACCCCTTATATCCTATAAATTGAGAGCTTGTCTCAATTCACTCTCACGTTTTCAACAGCCCATGGAGAGGATGAGAGAGGGAGAGTGGGCTTAAGAGAAGTAGAGAAGTAAGGAAAAGAAAAAAAAGAGAAAACAAGAAACAAAGGTGATTCAAGAAGGTGAAGGTAATAACATACCTCTCCCTTATTTACTCCAATTCTTTCACCATCTCATCCTATTGTCTAGTATGCCTCTTGTGTTACAAATTAATGGTAAATAGGATTTTTGGTGTGTGTGAAAGTGTGGGTATGATATAGTGTCATTGGCTTGCAAATTTGTGAAATTAGGCACTACTGTAACTTCTCTAATTTAAAAGAAATATCAAATCTATCTAATTCTCAAATCTGAATTTTATTGTAGTATATTTTGTGTGTTTAGAGCTTGTGATAATTTTATTAGCTCCTAATTGTGTGTTTTAAGGACTTGGATAATTTGTTGAAAAATCTGGTCCTGAGTCTTTGAAAAACAGTCCACTTTTAGCAATTTTATAAAATTCTAGAAAAATCATCTCATGTTGGTTCTTTTGTCATCTCTATATTAAAGAAATAGTCCAATTACACGGAATTCCTGTATTAATTGTGTCCAACCGGGACCCGCGTTTCACTTCCCGATTCTGGGGAAGCTTACAAGAAACGTTGGGGACTGAATTATGTTTCAGTACCGCATTTCATCCTCAAACTGACGGACAGTCGGAACGTACCATTCAGACTTTAGAGAACATGTTAAGAGCTTGTGTGATAGATTTCAAGTGGAATTGGGAGCGACACCTACCGTTAGTAGAGTGCACATACAATAATAGTTTCCAGGCCAGAATTGGCATGGCTCCATTTGAAGCACTGTATGGTCGACCTTGCAGAGCACCAGTTTGTTGGACTGAAGTCGGAGAAGCGAGTCTATTGGGCCTAGAGATCGTGCAAGAAACTACAGAAAATGTGAAACTTATTTGACAAAGATTAGTGGCAGCTCAAGATCGTCAGAAGAGTTATGCAGATAAGAAGAGAAGACCTCTAACTTTTGCTGTCGGTGATCATGTTTTCTTGAAAATTCAGCCCCGCCGAGGGATCATCCGTTTTGGAAAGAAAGGAAAATTATCACCTCGATATATCGGACCCTTCGAGATACTTCAGAAAATTGGAGAGGTTGCGTACAAATTAGCTTTACCCCCAAAGTTGGCTGGAGTACATAATGTTTTCCATGTATCTATGCTGCGGAAGTATATAATGTACTCTTCGCACATTATCAACTGGGAAGAAATCCAACTAAACGAAGACGCTACCTTTGAGGAGGGCCAATAGCAATTATAGATAGATAAGAAAAGAACTTGCGAAGAAAGACAATCCAACTTCTCAAGATACTTTGGCGTTACCACGGTATTGAAGAGTTCACCTAGGAACGTGAAGACGCGATACGAGCAAATTATCCACAATTATTTGAGACGTGAGGTATGATTTAATTTCAAGGATGAAATTTATTTAAGGGGGATAGGTTGTAGAGACCCTAATGTCTGGTACCTACACTTGAAACCCTAAGCCTTAGGTTAATAGCATTTTAGCTCCTAGTTCCATAAAAGTCTGCATAATGGCCCAATAAAGAATAATTTAAATCCTAGAACAACACTTTATAATTAGAAACACCCTAACACTTGGCTTTTATTTGTTTTATCTCCTAGCTTCTAAATCAATTCATACATTCTATTTTTTTTTAGCCTAGTTGTAAATTTACTAATTCTATAAATCCTTATTATTTATTTGAGCAAATAAATAGCTATAAATATATTTTAAAAAAAAATAGTTTTATTATTTATTTTAATTTTTAGTTGAGCAAATTAGTAGCAAATCAGTGGGCAAAAATATCTAGATATTTATGAGGTGCTTAGGCATTAAGTTAGAAAGGTATAATGGTCCTTTTAACCCAATTCTTGGCCTATAAAATTGAGAAACATTGTCTCAATTCCTCTCACACGTTTTTAGCAGCTCAAGGAGAGGGTGAGAGAGGGAGAGTGTGATCAAGGGAAGTAGAGAAGAAGGAAAAAAAAAAGAGAAAAAGAAGGAAAAGTGATTCAAGAAGGTAAGAACACATCTTCCTCTTGTCTTCTCCAATTCTTTCACCATCCCATCCTATTATTTAGATGCCTCTTGTGTCGCAGATTAGTGGGAAATAGAGCATTTGGTGTGTATAAAAGTGTAGGTTTGAGTTAGTGACATTGTCTTGCAAATCTGTCAAATTAGGCATTGCTGTAACTTCTCAAATTTAAAAGAAATATCAAATTTATTTATTTCTCAAATCTGAATTTAGTGTAGGCTATTTGATGTGTTTAGGGCTTGTGATAATTTTATTAGCCCCTAATTGTGTGTTTTTAGGGCTTGGATATTTTTTTTAAAAATCTGGTCCTGAGTCTCTGAAAAACATTCCACCTCTTGCAATTTTATAAAATTCCAGAAAAATCATCTCAGGTTGGTTCTTCTATACAAATTTATGATTTTGAGTCCTCTTTTCAATGGAATTTATTTGGACAAAAATCATTGGGTAGATTGAGAGGAAAGTTAGTTTTTCCAAATGGTGACAAATCTGGACAAGTTTTCGAATATAGCTTGTAAATGAATTTCTGGAGGTGCTGTGCAAATTCTGAGAATTGGAATTGAAACTAGATAGGTTAATTATTATTTTTGTGCAATTTCAGCCCCAAATTTGACCTAGAAGTATTTTTCCCAAAGCACTCTTGTTAGCCCTGCAGAATCGAATAGTGCTGGAAATGGTGTGTTATTGTGTTGTTTGTCTTTAAGTATTTCAAAGCATGCCTAATGTTATTTGCTTGCCTTACCATACCTGTGCATGACTATCATGGGCTATATTTCCTTTCTTATGTTTGTCTCATGCTCTTTTATATTACCGAATTACCGAACGTGACTAACTTGCTTGGCAAAAGACCTAATAAATGGGAAATGGAAAGGGGTTGGTAATGGGTGACGTTCACCCTTGTGCTTCTGAATGATTTATGTAATATACATGTGAATGAGATTAAAACCAAATGAGTTAAGTCTTGCACAAATAGTCTAAGCGAGCCCCTACATTGACCTTGTGACGCCCAAAATTTTTTTTTTCTTTGAGACATCATAAGACTTTAAATAACAACAACTTGTTAGATAAAATTTTAACTACTAATTAGGAACTTTTAAATTCTTACATAGTCAAAGTCCAACAACAAAATAAAACTACAAGTTCACACACAACGTCACAACATAGTTAAATACTAATACAAGAAATAACAGGATTTTATTTTGATAAAATCTTGACTCTAAGTTAGCCAAGGCTCGATATTAGCAGCAGCTCCAATTTCAGTCTCAGTCCCTTCCTCGACATAATCTGGCATGAAACGCCAGGGTAACAAAATACATGCCATGAGTTTTGCAACACAGTAAGAAAATATAACCAACCTACCATTCTTTTTGAGAGAAAAATAATGAGATTATAAACACGAGATAATAATATAATTGTAAATATAAATTACAACCATTAAAATAATTCAAATAATTTTAATAACTTAGGTGACCCTTGAAATCTCACCAAAGAGGTTTAACTTACCAACCACTAAGTCATGGCTACGGTTAATTTGGAACCCCCCCTTGGTCAAATATTCAAGAACTACCAAAGATGCCTACGCCCAAAGTTATATACCCAAGCCGTAACATCCATGGTCTACCCCAAGGGAACGGTCTGCCAGGGGTACGTAACTTCCCTGCGTGCCACCCGCACATCCACCCTTATTCCAAAACCAAATACTGATAAGGGTTCAAATAATCCCCGTGTCATCTTAGGGTTTCGCGACACAATTTATTTAAAAGTTATTAAAAACCAGGGCTCACCCTGAATACTCGGTATTAATCCTTTATCAGTAACTTTATATATTCAACACAAATTATTCAATGTCCAAAATTTAACAGACAATTAATTTAAATCATGGTATGAACATAATAACTTGGATACAAGAAATAAACCATAAATACACACATGCACAAATTTTTTGATTTACAAAATTAGACTAGCACAATATTAAAGTGGTGATTTTATCCTGTCCAGAAAAATTTTCAGAATATATATCTTGCAAATAAAATTACAAATACTTTACTTATACAACTCTAAAATTTATATCAATCTATAGGATACTCAATAAACATGTTATGGCCATTTTTCAGAAAGCATTTTTCAAAAATAAATTATAAATAATTCTAAAAAATTCCACGGGTGTTTATGACACAGATTTGTCACATTTCCTTACATTAATTCCATGCTTAAATTTATAGATCAAACCCATAATCTAAAAATTTATCATGAAACTAGAATTCTCAAATTTTATCTTTTAGTTAGAAATTACCAGATTTGGTTTAGTATAGAATTTT